CAATAAGTCTCATCACAAAAATATTACAAATTTCTAATACCAAAATTCAATTTTAATTTGATCAACTGATTATTAATACGCATCGTTTCTTTTAAGGCTACAATAATTTTATTAATAAAATTACTATTGTGTTTTATCATTCATGTAATGGGCATGCAATAAAAAAATTTGCATTCTATCGTCAAATCTTATAATTAGGTTTCAGGAATGCATCTCGCTTGATGGTGTTGCTTAATTTATAATTGATTTTCTGCTTATCTCAAAAATTCTTTCATATTGACTTTTCTTTGTTTTAATGATATCTATATAATAGTAAAAATAAATATACGTATCAGATATTTACCTATTATTTATTCAAGGCAGATGGTGTGTATATTTAAGATTTTTAAGATTTGAGATATGGGTTTAAAAAATTACATTCTTCTATAAATAATTCAATATGTATGATACATTTGTCGAAGATATTTTTGGAAGAATATGTATATATACAGACATACATATTCTGTTTTGTAAAGAATCAATATAAAGGTTAGTTCGCACATTTGAAAAATGTTTGTTCAATTGTAAAGAACTATTGAGAATAACGATCGCCATTGATAGACATTGAACAGAAAATCGTTTTGTTGAAGGAAGTATTGGCAAATCTCAACCTCAATTGAACAGAATGCGTTCAAAAATTGAAAGAGTTTTTCTTCCTTTAGTGATTTGAGCGTGGGTGTTATAGTGATATATTTTTTCCAATTGACACTACAAAAAATTATCTTTTTTTATACCTTCTTGTATTGCAATCCTTGATATTTATTTATTTTGTATAGTAACAAACAAAATTTAATTCGTATATAATTAAGTAAAAAGAATCTTGTTATTTAATCTTTATCGATTTAAGCTGTCATAGTTAATACAATGCTTGAAAACTTTGTAACTCTAAGGGAGAATTCTAGTCACGCTAAACACTATTTGAACAGATGTTTTGTATATCGTGTACCTGACTGATTTGCAGCAAGTCAAAGGTACTTCTCCTTTTTTAAGTCACGCAACCAAGAATCTTTCTTAATATTTTAATTTATGTCACTTTGATGCGATGAAAATCTGTATCAGAAATTCTACCAAACGAATGCAAAGAATGCCAATTAAGTTCGTTATATTCTAAAAAGAATTCTTCAAGAAAAATTTTTAAGCACGATTAGTACATTGTTTAGAGTTCCTTTTTAAAATCTACACGTTGCAATCTGATTGTTTTTCTTGTATATGCATTCTTTTAATCTTTTATTTTCTGTAGATATTTGAAAAAAGTTTCATAAATATTAATGAACACAGGATCGTTGTTTGAATTTATATTATTTTTCAATTATAACACTGTAAAGTACTAGCTTTTAAATAAGTAAATATATATATTAATATATATTAAATAATACGTTTTGTTAAATGTAAATACGATTAAAATTTTAAAAAATAATTAAAATCTGATGATCAATTTTAAAAAGAAATAATTAAAATAATTTTTTTTACTTGTTAGATTTCTCCCAAATTTTAATTTAAAAAAGAATTGTATTGAAATTTCTTTCATTCGATTTAGTAATACGTTATTCTTGTTACTAGTAATTAGAAATGGTTCAGTTGATTAAAAATATATAAGAAAGTTTTGATTGAAAAGACAGATTTAACGAAACTTCTAATAAAGAAATAGTTTACAAACTAATAATTAAAATATTAAATTATATGATATCGAACGGTAAAAATATACGACTTTTTCAAAGATATATGAATAAAAATTTATAAATTTTTAAAATATACATATTTATATTATTGTAGTCTTTAATATTTAATGTTGATCATATGCATTTTCTATCGTTAACTTTAAAAATCACACGATTTTTAAAGCATTCAGATAATTTAACAATTTAAATTTTACGTATTTAAATAGACAAGTTTCCATCCGCAATAATAAAGAAGAGTTAGATTATAAATTGATAAGTTTAGCATATGCATGAAATTCATATTGTTTTTATTATTTAAAAAAAAAGAAAACATAAGTAAAAATTTTTATTCATTCGCTTTTTATTGCCTATTTTAAAACAAACCAGAAGCTAATTTCAAATCGTTGCGTGTTATCGTCATGATATTTTTTAAAAATCTAAACAGAAAGAAATCAGTAATTCATTTTTTATTTAAAATGTTTAAGAAATAATTTCGATAAGATGTATATTTATTGTTTTTATCTCAGTTGAAATATTTTTTTAATATTTATAAACAGAATTATTATCTCTAAAGACTTGGCAGCTTTAACAATTTTACGTACAGATTTAGACAAGAAAAGGATCGTTTTAAGAATCTATAATAATAATAAGTAAGAAAATAAAATCTGAAGTTCACTTGCAAGAATTTGACATTTTAAATAAGAAATCGACACTTCTTTACGTCATTTAGATTCATCCAATCACATTTGTTGCGTTCAATATTAATGCTTTTGTGAAATTTTGTATTGAAGGTCATAATATAATATCAAATTTTTAGTAGGACATATTGATTTTTTCAAGCGAACGGTTATTCGGAAAATCATTAAGTGCTTTCTGCACGAACGAGAGTAAAAATTAAAAATGTTTTTTTAAAAAAACTTAAAAAAGAATAATTGCATAGATTTAGTTTATTTTTCGGGAAAAATTTATAATGTCGTGAAGTTTAGTACTTTCTTCTTAGTACAGCTTACCTAAATCTATAAAAACTTTACACAAACTCATTTTAATCCGGCGTTTAAAAGCCTCGAATATATAAAAAAAAAAAAAATCCACGTTTTATAAAATTTTAAGCTTAAAATAGAATATTTTTAAATAAGACCATAAAATGCATCGTTTGTTTTATTAATTTCTTTCAAATTGATTTTGAATAAACGAAGATAAAAAGTTCCATGTGATATAAATAGCAATAATATCGTCTCGACCAAGATTAAAACTATAAAAATTTCTTCCAAGATGCTTCAAACGGTGACTCGATGACGGTGGATATTCATTATTTAAAGCAATGAATATTCTTATTACTATACGAATGACCGGACTAAATCAACCTCGTAGCTGAGTGTGTAAAGCGGTAGTTATTTTAGTCTCGATTTCCATCTTGTAACAGACGAAGAATATCGATCGTTTTATGAAAATGAATATTCCAAGGAAAAGTATTAAGATTTCCAATTATCTCTAGCGTCTCAATAATGAAGCAAATTTAATTGCATTTTAAGCTTTACGCGTTTTTATAATTTATCAAAAAATATTATATACTGTTGTTGTATTAATTACATTATAAATGGCTTAATTACAGTTAATTATTCGGGCGTGTATTATGACAATAATCTATTTATTTTCAAGTTTTTATTTAAGTATTTTGCATTCAGAATCTTTAGAAATATGAATTCTTTTCGGAAGAAGCGAATAAATTTCTAAATATTAATAAAATTTCATCAATTTCATATTAATTTCGAAATGTGGAAACTATTTAAAAAGTAATTTTAAATTTAAAATAAAGAAATTTCGTAATATAAATTCGAAAATAATTTTTGTATTAAGAAAATTTTAATTCTTAATTACACTAAATTACGTTTTTGATAATAATTATGGATTTAAAATAAAAAAAAAACTGGAAAATATTTCTAATTTTAAAAATTTCATCTGAAAAGCGTTATTTTAGGAATATTTTATAAATTTCGGGAAGATCATTAAGTGTTATGCTTAATAACGATTTTTGAAATTCCTTTTTTTATATTTATAATATAAATATAATTATATTAATTTATGTTAATTTGATACGGAAGAAACATTTCTTACATACTATTTATTTATTTGAAGCGTTATCAAGCATCTACTCTATATTACAATATACTAACTTATAGATTAACTGTTATAAAATTATCTTAGATACATTTATTCTGTTAAAATAATACTTAGTATTACGTCAATTTGACGTCATTTTGTATTTCCCCATTACAAAAAAATATATATATAGGAATGACATCAAACTGACGTAAAAGTGTTCACCATTCTGACGAAACGAATGCGTCACTTCGTGTTGAGTTAAAAGTTTTCTCCTACAATTTGACGTTATCTTTTGCTTATTTTCTAATTATAATTAGAAAAAAATTCATTTCAAATATATATTTTTCAATAAAGACATAATTTAAAGTTTCACAAATATTATTTTAAAAAAATTTATTTAATGTTTGATACATTCTATTGGAAAGTTGAATTGGTTTCAGCTTGTTTCAAGGACTTGTTTGATTTCTTTGAGATATTTCTTTCTCTTGAAGCTTAATTCTTATCATTTGTAGACTTAATCTAGTTTATAACTCTACTCTTTATCTTAGTGGAATGACATAAGATGAAACGGCAGTTTTATTTTTAATCTTACGATAATATCTAACTCGAATTACTCTTCCTAAATAATCACAATATTCGTGTTCGAAAAAATAATATTTTAAAATTAAAATTATTTTTTAATAAATTAAATTTTTAATGAGTGTTTTCTATTTAACGCTTTTTCATAAAAAAAATTTATGGGATAATTTAATTACTGCAAACTGTTAGAAAATAATTAAACATTTCATCGTCTAATATTTAAATTTGTGATTTTTTTATGATTTAATTTATATAGTGAAAATTTATTATATATTTATCATAGAAAATATAAAATCACATTAATAAAAAGTAAATTCGTGATACGAATAAAATTAACAGTTCTTGAAAAAAATTTGCATTTTTTCTTTTTTAAATATTAAATTTACAAAAACATAATTTTTCATTCGTAATTTTGATATTTATGTATCGATTTACGAAGAAGATATTTGAAATTTCTCGTGTGAAAGTGACTTTCTATATAAGCAATTATAAATAAAAGAATATAATTTATAACAAATACTACAAAATTTTAAATAATAATACATTAGTTTGAATAAATATTATTATTATTATTTATATAATAAAATTTAGTGATTGCTTTATATTTTATATTTTTTATAGTTCTTTAACATGGCAAGCGTCTTCATGAAGATATTTAATCTTATTTGTATGATGCTACTAATTGGACACTGGAGCGGTTGTTTACAATTCCTAGTACCGATGTTACAAGGCTTTCCTACAAATTCTTGGGTTGCAGTAAATGAATTACAGGTAAGAACAAATAAAGTTAATACATGCATAAATTATAACGTAAGCATTAGTTTATAGAATTACACTGAAATAATTTTTAAATCGTTTTTTTTTTTCATACGTAAATTCATACATTGACTGTTTATACTGTAGAATGTCATCGATTTTTATCACATGTACTTCCCCGTCTAAAAATAACAAGTAGAAAGTAATGCGGTTTATAGATGACTTGTATATTCTCTAGGGCTAATGCAGATAGTCTAGCGACTCTTTGAGTATTTATCATTTATAGATTTTTTAATGAAAATCCACTTACTGCTTTAAGAATGATTTTAAAATACATTTTTCAAGCCATATGTATAAGTAGTCTATTTAATGCTTAACACATGCAAGGTTTTATATATATACATATATATACTCGTTTACTTAAATCTATTTTTTATTCCAAGAATAGTTTTTATATTATCATTATTTTTACTTTTATGTAAACTAACTTAGTGATATTTAAAAATTTATATGTTTACAAGGAAGGTATGACTTATAAAAAAAGAAAGAAGGAACATATACATCTATACGATATAAATAGGTATTTGCTGATGTAATATTATTTTAATAAAATTTGATTTAGTAGATAGCTTGTCAACATTGTAGTATATCATGTGTAATTATTTAAATGAATAGATCGTGTTTTAACCGATCAATATTATTTGTAAGATACTTTGATATTTTATTTTAATGCCAATAAAAAATAGTTTTTCTAACATTTACAGAATTAAANTTGTACTGTACATGTGACATGAAGTTCTTACATGTGTAACATTAACTTAGTTCATTTGACCGTGTGTGATGAATAAAACAAGAATCAGGTCTCTATAAGCCAGTGCATTTGATGATGCCAAGTAATATCTAAATCAGAAATCCCAAGTAACCAACTACGTCGAAAATATCCTTAAGGAAGAAAATACTTTGCTCTTACAAGCAATAGTATGAAAATCTTAAATAATAAATAAAAATATAGCGGAAAGATATATCTTAATATTTATCGATATATTAATCAAGTTATTAAAATAAATAAATCAGTTGAAAATTTGAAATATTTATAGCATATTTCTATAGTTTACATCTGTCGATACCACTGTAAGAATCCAAAATGTCTAATGTTGTATATTTGTTATCCAGAATAAGAAATTTTTCAGTAGTCAAATATCGGTACAACTACATTAGTAAATACATTATTAAGTATTTAATTGAAATCTAAATAGAGATATGAATTTATAAGCAGTTACTTTAAATTAATTGCATCAACAGTATTAAATTTTTACATCTGTATTGAATAAAATCAATAAGAAAACCAAAAGAATTTCTACGCAGTAAAGGTTTATAGCAAAGTTTACGTAGACAATATTANGTAAGATACTTTGATATTTTATTTTAATGCCAATAAAAAATAGTTTTTCTAACATTTACAGAATTAAAGATTCAATAATTTTTTTTTAGGTTTTAAATAGTAAATAAGTTTTTCAATTATTCAAATTTGATAGTTTTAAACATTCATGATTATTTTCTTGCCTAGTATATTGCAAAATTTATAGATAAAAATTAAAATAATAATAAATAAATCTATTTTTCGAATTGTGTTGTTATGATAATGATAACGATTATGATTGATACATTTTGAAATTCGTATGGAGTGATGATTAAATTTAATTTACAACATTAATTTAATAGTTGGAGAAATTTTAGATAATGGATATTCCTTACAATAAACTGTTTCTCATAATTATTTCTGTATGATATGGATAGTGAAAGAAATAATTACTATAGATCTATATTAATGTATATCTTGCGTTGCTAATTGATTCCGCTAATGTAAAAAATCGATTAATTTTAAACCTAGGTATTCTTTTATTAATAAAAAAGGGGTAAAACTTGGAGGAAAAAAATAAAAATTCATTAAAATTATCAGAAGAATGACGTCATCAGAAATTAGAATTTTTAAATTCTCTGGGGGGATGCTTTTATTTATTTATAGAAACCGGAATTATACTTAAAAATTTGATAAAAGTAATGAAAATTGCTTGCTCAACTGGAATTTATAATTTATTAAGTTTTCACCAAATTCATTTCTAAGTTTCTTGTAATGACAATCAATANGAAAGTGACTTTCTATATAAGCAATTATAAATAAAAGAATATAATTTATAACAAATACTACAAAATTTTAAATAATAATACATTAGTTTGAATAAATATTATTATTATTATTTATATAATAAAATTTAGTGATTGCTTTATATTTTATATTTTTTATAGTTCTTTAACATGGCAAGCGTCTTCATGAAGATATTTAATCTTATTTGTATGATGCTACTAATTGGACACTGGAGCGGTTGTTTACAATTCCTAGTACCGATGTTACAAGGCTTTCCTACAAATTCTTGGGTTGCAGTAAATGAATTACAGGTAAGAACAAATAAAGTTAATACATGCATAAATTATAACGTAAGCATTAGTTTATAGAATTACACTGAAATAATTTTTAAATCGTTTTTTTTTTCATACGTAAATTCATACATTGACTGTTTATACTGTAGAATGTCATCGATTTTTATCACATGTACTTCCCCGTCTAAAAATAACAAGTAGAAAGTAATGCGGTTTATAGATGACTTGTATATTCTCTAGGGCTAATGCAGATAGTCTAGCGACTCTTTGAGTATTTATCATTTATAGATTTTTTAATGAAAATCCACTTACTGCTTTAAGAATGATTTTAAAATACATTTTTCAAGCCATATGTATAAGTAGTCTATTTAATGCTTAACACATGCAAGGTTTTATATATATACATATATATACTCGTTTACTTAAATCTATTTTTTATTCCAAGAATAGTTTTTATATTATCATTATTTTTACTTTTATGTAAACTAACTTAGTGATATTTAAAAATTTATATGTTTACAAGGAAGGTATGACTTATAAAAAAAGAAAGAAGGAACATATACATCTATACGATATAAATAGGTATTTGCTGATGTAATATTATTTTAATAAAATTTGATTTAGTAGATAGCTTGTCAACATTGTAGTATATCATGTGTAATTATTTAAATGAATAGATCGTGTTTTAACCGATCAATATTATTTGTAAGATACTTTGATATTTTATTTTAATGCCAATAAAAAATAGTTTTTCTAACATTTACAGAATTAAAGATTCAATAATTTTTTTTAGGTTTTAAATAGTAAATAAGTTTTTCAATTATTCAAATTTGATAGTTTTAAACATTCATGATTATTTTCTTGCCTAGTATATTGCAAAATTTATAGATAAAAATTAAAATAATAATAAATAAATCTATTTTTCGAATTGTGTTGTTATGATAATGATAACGATTATGATTGATACATTTTGAAATTCGTATGGAGTGATGATTAAATTTAATTTACAACATTAATTTAATAGTTGGAGAAATTTTAGATAATGGATATTCCTTACAATAAACTGTTTCTCATAATTATTTCTGTATGATATGGATAGTGAAAGAAATAATTACTATAGATCTATATTAATGTATATCTTGCGTTGCTAATTGATTCCGCTAATGTAAAAAATCGATTAATTTTAAACCTAGGTATTCTTTTATTAATAAAAAAGGGGTAAAACTTGGAGGAAAAAAATAAAAATTCATTAAAATTATCAGAAGAATGACGTCATCAGAAATTAGAATTTTTAAATTCTCTGGGGGGATGCTTTTATTTATTTATAGAAACCGGAATTATACTTAAAAATTTGATAAAAGTAATGAAAATTGCTTGCTCAACTGGAATTTATAATTTATTAAGTTTTCACCAAATTCATTTCTAAGTTTCTTGTAATGACAATCAATAAATTTTAATTTAAACATTTTAAATTGTTTAAATTTAAAGAAAAATAAAATTCTTACAAATCAATTTATTTGACTAATACACAATTTAACCTCTGATATTTATAGTAGATCTGTTGTATGTTATACGACGGTTTATTATTATTATAATATATAAAGTAGATATATTTTATTGTTCTTGTATATTGTGTAACTACATTGTATTTTTATATCGTACGTTCGATTAGTGTATTTAAATAAAAGAAATTACATAAAATAGAAAGATGAAGACGTAATTAATAGTAATAGTATAATAATATGTTATAAATCAATAAGAATAGAATAAAATTTTTATACAAGAAACTTTCATTATATAAATAAACGCTAATTACAGCCGTATATCTGTTACTTAATCACGATTATAGGCCAGTTAAATCTCGTTTGAGCCCCAATTAATGTTGTCCTGTTACATGTCTGTTTAATGCTACTCTCAGTAGTTTTATGTAACAATAATACAGACAATTATTGTTTATTGTTAACTGTATAATATAAGTTCGCTTCAAAAATTGATTTTTTTCACCTATTTATTACACATAATCTATATTACATAAATTTAAATATGTATATATTTTATCATTTCATATTTACATTCATAAATCCGGTTTAACTCGCGAATATTAAAATAGTATTTGAAAATGATGAAATTTGAGTTGATTCTCTAAGATTTTGATTAAACTCCTGATGAAAGTTTGCTTAAATTTAGTATTTTTTTCTTTTGGAAATTATAGTTTTGAATTTTATAGGATTTATCTAAAAGTAGTTTGAACTGGAAGACGAAGCTGTGAAGTTGAGATTGTGCTGCATGCCAATCAGTACGGTATTCAATAAAGTTGTTTCATCAGCGAATTGAGACTGGGAATTTCGATATTGTAGATCGATTTATTCTCTGTATTTCTATAGCAGAGAACAGTTGTTAAATTATTTACAAATAAAAAAAAATATCGAGTTCTTACTTTAATTTTATAAATTATACATCAGTCGTATTTTTAGGAGAAATTTCAATAATACAAGGTCACTCAACCTCTATTTTATGAAAATAGATGTAGAATGAAAGATGTTTCTCACATCAATATGCTTTCAATATAATTATTC